TAATTGTTACTAGCTTTATTTGGGAAGATATTAGAAAAAGAAATGACCACAAGAAAGAATTATCCACAATACACATGAAAATGAAAGGGAATAAGAAAGCATCCAGAAATTTTAAGCCTCAAAAGTTGGGAATGCTTAACTCAAACGTTAATACATAATTTTTGAAATTGAATAATGAACAGTCTTAAGATATAATTATGTGACAACATTCAGATTGAGCCAGGTCTTCAACCCAAGCCTCATGGCCTTGGGGTAGATATCACTGAGTTGAGAAAGAAATGATGATGAGAAGAAAAAGAAATAATACTATTTTAAGAATTATGTCTAAGAAAGAACTATGCGTATGGTAACTGGCATATTGAACTGATTATAAGCAAAGAGGCAAAAGTCTATTAGTTGTTTTCTATTTTTAATTTTTTTAATTTTATGGATACATAATAGTTACATGTTTATAGGGTACATGTAATATTTTGATACAAGCATACAATGTATAATGATCAATGCATAATGGTAATTGGGGGGTATTCTCCACCAATTACTAAAAACATTTGTCATTTGTTTGTGCTGAAAGCATTCCAAATTTATTCTTCCAGTTATTTTGAAACGTGTCATAAATTATTTTTAACTAGAGTAGCCCTATTGTGCTACTAAACACTAGATCTCATAACTTCTGACTGTATTTTGTAACTTTATCCCCCGACCCCCACTACCTTTCCCAGCCTCTGGTAGCCACCATTCTATTCACTACCTCCATGAGGTTTCTTATAGCTCCTACATATAAGTGAGAACATGCAACATATGTCTTCCCGTCCCTGGAAGAGATGAAAGTCTTATGAATTTTAAAGACAATTATACTGCAAAAACAACCATGAGCTAGGGCTTAAAAGCTGTTGGCTGAGTCTTGAAGCAAATCTTAGACCACCCAACGCATACAGGCAGGAGGCAGCAAAACCTCTAGAGACCTTGATGGCCACTGTGGCCATGGCAGATAATAGACAAGCAAAACTTCCCAGATGGCAGAAGCAGAGGCCTGACATAACAATGGACGGGAAAATTTCTCCTTGAGAACAGAATCAAGTTCTGACCATGGCATTTCTCACATTGCCAAGATTTCATACTGGCTGTCCACAGGATTTCATCATTACCACGGACCAGTGACTACTGCATACATTCCAATTTTCTGTTTTCTGCCTGAGGTATTTATTCCAGGTATCCTGTCCTGGTGCCACCACACGTGTGGCTGGAGTAGAGGAGGCAGAAAATTTGCAACTAATCTACCAATCTAATAAATAATTGGTAACTTTGTATATTAACAGGTTAGAGTATGAAATATTTTGCAAACATATTGTGTGTATATGTATGTATGTGTATATATATATATATATATATATATATATATACACATACATACAGTTTTGCTTTTTAATGCTTCAAGTAATATCTGACGTCGGGAATTTTTAAAGACAAGATTCTATAGTATTTTCACATTATCCTTGTATAAGCCTTTTGTATATATAATCATATATATATAACTATATAAAAGTCTCCATTAAAGTGCTCTAGGCAACTTTGCTTGTCTACATCTATTTCATCTTTATCTACCAAAAGTACTTACCTAAGGAACTTCATGCTGCCACTATGTCTGAATTATATATTTTTTCAGGTCCCACAATATAGTACAAGAAAAAGGAGGTCTGTAGCTAGGGAGACAGCCCACTGTGTTAGTTTTACTTCCTTCCCCAATAGCATGTACCCGAAGACAAAGACTTGAGTTCACATAGTTTATTTGGAAATTGATCCCAAGAAACACTGGTTAGAAAGAGGGGAGTGAGGTAAAGATGGGAAGGAAGTCAGGAAAAGCTGCTTTGTCAAGCAAGTTGCCACTCAGGTGACTACAGCTTTGTGCCCCTAGGAAACTAAGATGGATGCTCAACATGGTGCTCCTCCGTGTTGGTTCACCTATGGGGACCCACAGACCTCATCTTCCAGGTTTGTAACTGAGGGCTGCTCCTTGATGGCACTCTTTCCCCAGTACTCCCAGACTGCTGCAGGCTCACTGGCCAAGACGCAGTCACAAGCAATTGGAAATCAAACTGGATTGTACAAAAATGGTAAGGACCCAGGTGATGTGGACAGCATGCACGCCATCCACTATGCAATTTGTCAGAAGAAGGACTCATAGGTAGAAGCTGCTGAACTTAAAATATCCAGAATTTCTGTCCTATCAGCATTCCTCAGGGTATTCAGGAAACATTCTCAGTTAATATTTCTGATTTATTCCCAGCAGTTTTTGCCTTTCAGTATTTATATGAAAGCATTTTCTCACTATTAAGATATTAGCAAACTAACAGCATGCTTTATGTCCAGAATAAAATCCAATATTCAGCTTCCAAAACAACTTATAACCAAACAACTTTTTTCTAAGCACAGATGAGGCTGCCATCTCCCTACAGTGCAACCAATTCTAAATTTGCACCTGTAGCATGTGACATTATCCCACTTGTGCATAAATTACATGCATTTCCAAAGGTGCTAGATATTCCTGTTTCTTTATAGTCCATTTACAAATAGTAATACCACTAGAGGAAAAAGAATACAGTTAAGCCGTATTCTGAGTAATATATAATTTAAGCATTCCAAAAATTGCCATAGATCAATTTAAGGGCAGCTAACGTTCCTGCAAATAATCGAGAACTGATTGCATTTGTTTAAGTCAATATTGCCTATTTTAGATAGTAAACTACTAGAGGGCAGGGATAATTTTGTTAAATTTGACTAAAGGCTTAATATCATACCACCCACTTAACAAAAGTATTTTTTTTTAATTTAAGTATTAATATTTTGATCCTAACAATGTTCAAAAATTCTTCTGTGGTTTCATTCCTGTCAACAGTATGGATTTGGTTTTTTTTAAGTTCTGGTATAAGCTGGACGTAGTGGCTCACTCCTGTAATCCTAGCATTTTGGGAGGCCTAGGCTGGCAGATCACTTGAGGTCAGGTATTCGAGACCAGCCTGGCCAACATGACGAAAACCTGTCTCTACTAAAAATATAAAGATTAGTCCGCATGGTAGCCAGCACCTGTAATCCTAGCTACTTGGGAGGCTGAGGCACGAGAATATCTTGAACCCAGAAGGCAGAGACTGCAGTGAGCTGAGATCATGCTACTGCACTCCAGCCTGGGTGACAGAGTAAGACTCTGTCTCAAAAAAAAAACACCGCATGTTCTCACTCATAGGCAGGTGTTGAACAATGAGAACACATGGACACAGGGAGGGGAGCACTACACACTGGGGTCAGTTGGGGGGAAATAGGGGAGGGATGGTGGGGGGTGGGGAGCTGGGGAGAGATAGCAAGGGGAGAAATGCCAGATGTAGGTGATGGGGAGGAAGGCAGCAAATCACACTGCCACGTGTGTACCTATGCAACAATTTTGCATGTTCTTCACATGTACCCCAAAACCTAAAATGCAATAAAATAAATGGGGAAAAAAAAAAAAACTTCTGGTGTAATCTACACACATAGCTCTATTGAATATCATCCAAGTTGCTCAGAAGTTGTTTGTAAACTAAATTCTGCCTGAATTATTCTGCCAATCCATATTCCAGCTTTAATTTAATTTAGGGGCCAGCATGCTTTTAACAGAAAAGTTACCCATGTTGGTTATGCATACTGCTCCGTTTTATCACATCTCCTTCTCATTCGGGTACCTGGTAGAATTCAACTTTCTGGCTCCCTGAAGCTTGCAAAGAGCCCTGAACTAGTTCTGGGTAAGTATAAATGACAAACTATTTAAGACCAAAACATTTCATTGCTGGCTTGAGACTATCCCGAATTCTATTTCCCTCTATCAAAACAATGGGTTATATTCTGAAGAAATGTCTGCTCCATCTCTGAAGTAAGTTCTAGAGTAAGGACACATGGAGTGGAAACACTCCCTGGTGATCCGTGCCAGACATTTAGCATGAGTGAAAAGTAGGCCTTTGGGACCGTAAGCCACCAAATTTGGGGAGTTGTTTGTTCCTCCAGATCATACTCTTCACCCTAGTCAGCTGCAGGAGGCCAGACTGTAAAGAGTCAGTCAATTAGCTCTCTTGCCCTCTGGCTCCAGACTGGGTTCTAATATTAGAGAGACATGGCAGAAGATCAGAGGGAGGGAGGTGAATGAGACAGGAGTATTTATATTCCCTTAGCTCGGAAATTCCCATTTCCCTCCATGAAGACCAGGGCTCTTGTTAAGGTAGCCCTGCTATAGGAGACTCTCTTTCAAGATAACTCACCCCTTCAAGCCTAGGGGCAGAAATAGACCCGGTGTTACTAGTCTTGGATACACTCTATCTCATAGTTCCCCTATTTCCTATCTACATTTTTATAAGTAGCCCCTTTATTGGATATTCTTTGAATTACTCTATTGGAATAGGCCATCTGTTTCCTGCTGTAATACTGACTGATATGTTTTTACAGCCTGTACTGTCTAGTTTACTCATTCTATCAATAAAACATGACATTGTACACATAGCATTCTTCCTGAACAACTGCAGTTTCCTTTACATTCAGCCTTGCCAAAATCAAGGAAGATGCTGAAGATCTAAATTCCACTATCCTCTCAACAGTACTATACAATAGAACTCTTTCCCCCAGACAATAATGCCTTTATGTCTGAGAAAGCAATAGCACTCTTAAATTACAAATTTGTTGCTCCTCTGTCCAACCCCAGCCTGTTTTAAAACTGCAGTACTGATTCTTTCTTACTTCAGGGAACTTTGAGAAAGCAAGGTCTTTGATATTACTCCTTCTTCCTCACATTACCTTCCTCCATCTTTCCTGAGGTTGAGTTTATTTTTATTCAGTGTGCTGAAAGGAAAAAACCTTCATATGAATAATATTCATAGAGAGCTGATTAGTGATTCCAGGTACTAGACCTTGATAGGCCTGACATATCTTCAGTATCTTAATAAAGCAATTCATTTAGCTAGTTAAGAAATGAACAGGTTACTTACCTACTTGGAACCCCGGAAGACTTGTTTCATCTCGCACTTAAGAGTTCAATGACCTCACCTGAAAAAAATCATAAAAGGATCACAGATACATATATTAAAATTTCAAAAAGAGAAACTAGTAAATTACAGATTATTGTCCATGAAATATGTTCAAAAGCATTGTTTAACAAGCCTATATTTAAAATTATTACAAATAAAAGTGATTTTGCCATTAAAGGTAATTTATGTTTTATGTACATTTGACCTACCAAATTATCTCCTAGAAGTCCAATCCAAGTTTGTTGGAGACAGATAAACATTCTGTCTCCCTAAAAATTACTGTTTTGTTTTCCTTGCCTGGATAGTGCATCATTATCCTTAATTTATAACATTTATGTAACATTTCACAATTTCCAATCCTTTTCATATACATTGGTAGTTCTTAACCTTCTGCAATTTGTGGAGTCTTTCAAAGGATCTGATGACAATAATGAACAGTCTCACCAGAATTTTGTGCATGGGTCTACAGGTATACTACTGTATTCAATATTGCAGTGTTCATTGATGTCCTAAAATCCATCAAGGTTTACTAACTCCAGTAACCCACAGGTTCATCCTCACATCTCTATGAGGTAGGTATTGTTATCACCATTTTTAATTAAGAAAATTAATCTGCATAGAGGTTCGATGACTTGTCAAAATCATGTAGGAGAATTTGGTGTTAAACTGAAGGCTTTTGACATGATAACCATGTTTTGCCCTCTGTCTCAAGACAGCCTCCTGGTTTTGTTGATGTGAATCAACACCTATATTACACTATTTTATTTCATGAAGGTACAGTCAAAATTTACTAGACGAGAGTCCCCAAACATACAAAATTTTCCAAATAAATAAGGCTAAAAATCTCATCTGATCTTCAAATCATGGATCTATTTTGCTTTTAGATTCAGTTAAATCTCTAATCTATAAAAGTCATTCACTCAGAAGCATTTCAAGTTAATCCTATGGTGTTAAAAGAAAATATCTATTCCCAAAACATAGAAAACTCACAGTTGAAATAGCTCTCACTTTTCTCTGTTTTCCTGTCAGTATCCATGTACACCCATCTTGGACTCTGGATCCATGGCCAGTCCCTGCCTGCCTGGTCTTCCTTCATTTACTTCAACTAAATTCTCAGATTTTCGAACCAAGGATACCCAAAGCCTCTATTTTACTATTAGGTTGAGTCATATGAAACTGTAATAGGCTAGAAAGAGTAGAATATCATCAGTTTAACATCGTTTAGTCTTATTTAGCTTTAGTGCCTTGACCTGTTGATGTTCAAGTATTACGGGGAAAAGAAGAAGAACATGACTCCAAAAAGACCTGGTTCTAATCCACTGTGCCATTTAGCAGGTTAATTACTTCAAGCAAAACACTTAAACTTTCTGAGTAACAATTCCGCATCTGAAAATGAGGACAATACGGGTCACAATTGTGTCGTAGGATTGTGAGAAAGTATTCTACAAGATAATTTCACCTGTGAAAGTATTTCAAAAATTTTTAAAGCACCATACACATTTAGGATGCTGTTATTATAGTCAGCAAAGATGCCTGCATCAGCAAAACCGGCATTAAATTTTTTAAAAGAACAGTAGGATCATATATGTCCACTAAATTACTCACTGCAAATGTCCAGCCATCAGTAGTACCCCTCACATATTGGTGTAGCTTTATTTATACATATTTATTTATATCACATTGGGATGACTTGTTTGGTCAGCTTTACAGAAGAGCTCATGACCTGATTCCTACATTGAACATAAGCCAGCAAATGAATCACTGAGAGACACAGTGAAATTGCATGAGGTAGTTATCTGCCCACTGAAATCATTATGATGAATTTACTATCTGGTGTTAAATTACCACTTCACCATAAAAAACACCAACCTATTGGTCTTAAAAAATAACTGAAATAAAGAGGGAAAAGTTATTTATAAATTGTATATATGGGATTTTTAAATACATTTTGCTAAAATTGTGCTTTTTCAGAATTTTTAAAATGCACTAGGGCTTATGTTTAACAACTTTTCTGCCTTCTAAAGGTTGAGTAAACAATATTGCAGTATGACTTTCAACATCAGGGCCAAGCCCTTCAGCAAATAAAGCCAAAATGAATTATATCATTGACTATCAAATGTGCAAGGCAAATATAAACCAATATAAACCGTGAGTAAAAATCAAGTGGAGGCAGCAAAGACCTTTTAGCAACTGTTTTCCAGGCTTGTAAAATTCAGCTGTGGAAATTGGTATAGAGTTAGTTTACAAAATAATGAATTTCCTAGTATGTTATAGATCATGAAGAAGAAATTAAACTAAAATGCAATTCCTCAGAAAGACCAGTTTTTTTTTAATGATTTGACACCTAACTTATGACCCTAAAACCAATAATAACTGCAGTCACTTCAGTAGCCTTTGTAAATATTTCATAGTCAGGTTCTCTTAGGATGCAAATCTGCAACAATTAAAAAGTTTATGAACAAAACAACCTAGGATATAAATTTCAGATTTTAAATGTGTGTGAAAATAATTTTTACTTTATATTTTTTTACAATTAATTTCTGTCTTGATCCCTTATTCTACTCAGTGGTCAAATTTAGGGTTAATCAGTCAGTGCAGTATTTCTTCGGACTATTACTAGCTTGACGATGCTCTCTACTCATTATCCAAGGGCTGTCACCTTAGTTTCAAGGATCTATTTGGTGACACCGAGGTGCCATCCTCAGTGAGGATGGGAGGATGTCATCTTCTCTTCCTGTGATCAGATGATAAGGCATTCACATTTTACCTGTTTCTGGTCATTGGTATCTAACCATATCGCCATGTGCCCATTCTTATTGGATCTTAGATCACTGCTCCATGGAAGTCAGACTGCTATGAGGTCCCTTCATGTCCATTAGCTCTCTCTGCTCTATTTATGTGCCTCTGTAAGGAGGAAGTGGAGGGAAAGAATAAAATGTAGAATGTAATATGTTGGTAGATAGAGTTTAGAAAGGACTTCTTCCCTATATAGAGCATAAACCTCATGTTTCTCTGTGCTTTTCTCATAGCGACCATCCCGAGCTTTATGCACTTGAGTATGGGCTTTGGACTCAGAGAGTCTGCATTCAATCTCAAAGTCCACCACTTGGAAAAGTTTCTACTTTTACCTTGGATACCTTATCTATAAAACAAGTATAACAGTATCTCCCTCATAGGGTTGTTGCAAAGATTAAATGAGATAATAAATGTAATAATTAGAACATTGTACAATGTATAACAGTCATTCAATAAATGATATCCACTATCATTATCTCGCCTCTCTCCAAGCGCTCCGTCAGCTTCTCCTACTTACAGTAATGCATCAATTTATATGACCCCAGTGAAAAGATACCAGGGTTAAAACTGAGTTTATAAATAAGTGTAGGACACAATTGTTTGTTAGGAGAAGACATTTTTACAAGATTCCATGTTTTGGTCTCAACCCTTGCATACATGAGTGTGTGGCATTCCTTATCACTGCAGAAAATGTCCCCAAATGCCTAAAATATATCATTCTAATGTAGGCATAGAGAGTTACTATTTGGATCCAGTCATTAATACCTATTTAGTGTTATAACCACCACCCACAGTTGGATATTTTAAGTAAGGAAGGAGATCAGTATGAATTCTGTCAGATTTCGTCTATTTCTTTTCCTGAAAGTATTCAATTTTAAATCCAAAGAACCAGTCCTTCCAAAATATTTACAGTGAAAAAGCACCAAAGATTAAATCCATCCAGAATCACCTCATGAGTAACTAGCCTGGTAAGTTAATTACCGGATTCTTTGTTACTCTTTCTTATTGTGAGTAAGAGTTCTTGATGCAATATTTTTGGTTAATTGAAGATTTTCTTTAAAACTATGCAAGACAGCCAGCAAATAGTGCATTTATGTATGTAATAGAAATGGTTGTAATATATCATTAAGACACTCCAGGGCATGTTTTATTGGTTCATTAATATAGTACATGCCTTAGGTGTATTCAACCACTCGGGCCCTATATTAATGGACCAATAAAATGTACCCGGGAGTGCCTTAATGCTACCCTAATATGGCTAAGTTTAAATTAATTTTTTCAGGCTTATCTTTTTAAAAATCATTTTTTCCCACTTGGGAAGATATATTCCTTTATAGGGGGAAAGAAGTTCATGGTGACAGAATAAGAAGAAGCAGGATAATAAAAATCTTTTTGTTTCATCAGTTTTCTAAAATGGTTCATCCTTTCAGATGGTTCCATTTCTAAACTCCTGCTTTCCACTCTCAGTGTCTTCTCATATCTTTCAGAGAAATCAATAATCTTGTGGCTAGGAGCAGGAAACTAAGAGCTATTTCTTTTTGGAACCGGAAGATCAAGATCCAGCAAATGTCATGTCTACCTATAAAAGCCCTGTTACCTTTCAGTCTTTCCCTGGGTCAGAACAAATACTCACCTTGCTTTTTCATCTACCTCCTAGCACCTTGTGTCATCCAGGAATGATGCTTTCCCTCAAAAGGAAAATGATTCTTTCATCCTCTTTCTGCTTATCATCCACATTACACTTCCTCACTCAGCTTTTTAGAAATTCTTGCATTCTACCTTGGGTTATTTAGGAATCCACTTGATAACAGAAATTTGAGGAAATCTAAGGAAGGTATAGAAGTGTTTAATCCAGCTCCAAACGGAATTAAAATCTTAGACTTACTATGGACTTTCTGGGTGGTACTGGTCTAAAAGTTTCCAGTTCCTCCTCAGCAAAAGGATAATAACGTCTGTTTTACAGGCAGAGCATGGATACCAAATGAGATAATGCATGCTAACATGAGGTATGAAGCCTGGCACATAGTGCCCATGGAGTGTTAGTGGTAGCTTTTGTTATTAACTTCTCAAATGCCACTGAAGAAATCAGGATGGATGACAACAGTTAAATAGTTTGGCCTTCACCAAGAAATGCTGACAATTTAGCCATCTAGAGTATACAAAGCAGATGCCCTTCTCACCCTCCTCCTTTTTTTTACTCTATTACTACTAAAGCACAAGACA